CACCACCACCACCACCAATGCCCTACAGGCATATCAAGGGAAAATAGAAGTATTTCTAGACTTGAGAGAGCTCCAGTCTTTTGTAGGCTTTTTAATATACAAAATAAAAAGATGATAAGATCTATGCAAAATTTTCTATACACACAGTATTGACACTCCCTTTGTCAAATTTTAAAAGTTGTTATTAGCAATTGTGACAGAGATCAGTCTACCCATGATCCTTATATTGGCCTGCTGTGATTATTAGATCTAACACTTGGTTAGAAGACTGGTTGCTCTTCTCTGACTTAACCATTTGATTTATTTGAAAGTAGCCATTATATCCTCTTATGGATCCTGATGGCATTGTTTTTGGTAAGTGCCGTTGAGTCAGTTCCGACTCAGAGTGGCTGGTGAGCTTGAACTGCTGACTTTGTCTGATAATGTTGTTGTTGTTATGTGCCGTGGAGTCGGTTCTGACTCATAGCGAGTCTTCATAGGGTTTCCGAGGCTGTACATTTTTATGGGAGCAGAAAGCCTCATCTTTCTCCCACGGAACAGCTGGTAGTTTCAAACTGCTGACCTTGTGGCTCACAGCCCGATTCGTAACCACTACGCTACCAGAGCGGGTTACTTATCCTGATCATTATCCCTGGTATGGTGCTGTAGGATAAGCACTGGACTGCAAGGTAGGTTTGAACCACAAGGTTGGCAGTTCAAACTCACCACCTCCTCCTCGGAAACCCTGTACAGGTTCACTATGAGTCAGAACTGACTTGATGGCATTTAACAACAACAAATCCCTGATGGCGAGTTGGACTGCTAATCACAAGGTTAGCAGTTCTAATCTACCAGCTGCTCCTCTGGAGAAAGATGATGCTTTCTCCTCCCATAAAGATTCATAGTCTCAGAAACCCTATAAAGGGCTACATACAATAAGAAGTAGATTACGAAACATGGGGTCTGTTGTTCGAGCCCACCTCGGAAACCCTATACAGGGTGGCTATGAGTTGGAACCGAGTTGATAGCACTTAACAACAACAGAGAGTAGGAAATGACTCCATGGCATATAACCACCACCACCATCACATCCCACTGGTGTTCTCTTTTTGTTATTTCTGTGGTGGTTATTTCTTTTTATTATGTGCCATGGAGTCGGTTCCCACTCATAGTGACCCTGTACAGGGTTTCCGAGGCTGTAAATCTTTACGGGAGCAGAATGCCTCATCTTTCTCCTGCGGAGCAGCTGATAGTTTCGAACTGCTGACCTTGCGGTTCGCAGCCCAACTCGTAACCACTGCGCTACCAGAGCTCCTTTTCTGTAGCACTAGTTTATTGAGTAATTGCTGAAATAATAGGTTACTGAGTATTTCTTCTTTGAAAATTATATAGCACTAAGTTTTTGTTACTGTGCCTCATGCTGGACTAGTAGCCAGTGTGTTGGCGATCCTGTGTTGAATCCATCCTCCTGTTTTCTTAGCTTGGTGATTTGGGCAGTTTATTTAATTTGAAGCTCAGTTTCGTCAGTTATAAAAAAAAAAATGGAGCTATTAAATACTCACCGAAACTATGTTGTTGCTAAGTGCTGTTGAGCCATTTCTGACTCATAGCAACAACCCTGTACAGGGTTTCCAAGGAGCAGTTGTTGAGTGTGAACCGCTGGCCTTGCTGTTCAAAATGAACTTGTGGTCCAGTGCTTATCTTACAGCTCCAATTAAGTATTAAATGAAGTTACATATGTAAAACTTTTAGCAGAGACCCTAAGTACTTGTTTATTGCATCAATGCTACATCACAGGAGGTGTGTTAGCAGTTTAAGAATTGATACATAATAGTGTGCTTGAAAGGGGCTGTGGGCTGTCTCACCATGTAACAGTGGCCGCAGAATAGACTGGGGGTGAGAAGCTGGAAGTCCATATAATAATGAGGTTGTGAACAATGAAAAAGTGATGGTGGTGTGCCGTGGAGTTGGTTCTGACTCATAGCGACCCTGTGTAGGGTTTCTGAGGCTGTAAATCTTTATGGGAGCAGAAAGCCTCATCTTTCTCCAGTAGAATGGCTGACAGTTTTGAACTGCTGACCTGAGTTTAGCACCCTGACTTGTAACCACTACACTGCTCGAGCTTCTTAAGGCTAAAGGGCAGATAGACTTTAGAGACATTTCTGAGATTGAATGACGAGATCTGATTGCTGGATGTGAGAAGGAAAAGGAATAAAAATGAATCACCTTTCCAGCTTGGACAAGCTGGTGATGTAGTCATCAAAAGGAGACCAAGTTTGGGGATGTGGTAATGAATTTGGCTTTAGAAATGTTTTATTTGCATAGTATTTGGGGGCTGTTTGGCAGAAAAGTCTCATAGGTGTTTAGGAATCTCAACAGGAGTTTTCAGTTCACTGCTTACCCATATACAAGTGACATCAAGTGGGTGAAATCACCCAGAAGAATGATAAATAACAAAATTAAGAAACTTGAGGGAAAAGGAAATAAGAGGGGGAGATTCTTTAAAGAGCTTTAGAAATGTATAAGAAAGGGAAATGGGGAGAAAATTGGAGGGTAGTGAATATGTGCCTAATAAAGAAAAAGCCTGTGACACCTAGTATATTTGACTGTATGAGATATGAAAACCTGGGCTTCTGGCTCTGGGGATAGAAATGTCATTGAAGGCAAAGGAGAAAAAAATTTATATTTAGAAGGGATTGATTAACAGTGCCTCAGGCTATGGCAAGGTTAAAAGAGGGTTTTGAATATGACACTTAGAAGATTATTGGTGATCAATTGCCTGTTTTTTAAGTTCTCCACTCTGTTGTCCCATTATTAAACAAGTCTTCCATTGTTATGGCTTGAATTGTGCCTGCAAATATTGTGAATTTAAATCCTAACCCCAGTACCTGTGGTTGTGATCCTATTTTCTTTTGTTATGTTAATTGGACACCAGCGTTGTATGGGTCCCAAACATAATAGTTGTAAGTCATGAAAAGAGCAGCCGGAGAACAGAAAGAGGGAGTCTAATGAAGAAGACAGATGCATTGATAAGTTCAGGAATGCCAAGGATTGCTGTCAGCTACAAGAAGTCGAAATAGACAAGGACAGATCTCACTCTGTAACCACATCCTAAATTGAGATTTCTGGCCTCCTGAACTGTCAGAAAATAAATTCCTTTTTCTTTAAAAACACCAACTTGTCTTTTTCCAGTTACAGCAGCACTAGGTAACTGAGACAGTATCTAAGATACTATGCCCCTTCCAAACAAACCCATACAGCCACATGACTACCTTATGTCCACATTTACCACCTGACATTTTATATATTTAATCATTTTTATTTTTCCTTACTAGAAAAGTATAAGCTCTATAAAATTGGGGTATATTGTTTGTTTTGCTTTTTCAGTGCTGTATCCCTGCTTCCTAGAACAGTTACTATCTCATGTTAGATGCTAAGTAAATACTTGTTGAAATCAGTGGCTGCATCTATTTTAGTAGAAAGATAGTTGTTAAGTGCCTTTGAGTCTGTTCCAACTCATTTTGACCTTGTTTCTGATACAGGGCGACTGGTGGTTTTGAACTGCCATTCTTGGAGTTAACAGTCCAGCGCTTCCTCCTAACCATCACACCAGAACTTCAGTGTAATGATTAGGTCTAATAATATCTGCTTACAGTTCTTATAGCGAGTGTGTGAGAGGTGGCTGTGGAGTCAGTTCGTATGAGAGGTAGGAATGGAATTAAGCAATAAATGAAAGTATTAAAAAATTGCTATTGAAGCTATTGGTCCTAAATAGGATTAGAAGAGATTCCTGCATGTCTTCATTAGCTACAGAAATGTCACAAGTTGATGACTAATAGACAAGTTTATTCCTCACAGTTTAGGAGACTAGAAGTCTAAACTCAGGGTACCAGCTTTAGAGCAAAACTTTTGATCTCAGTTCTGTGGGAAGTTCATTGTTTCCTTTCACCATCTGTGAGTCCAGAGCTCCTTGGAGATCATTCATCTTGATCTGACCTTGGGTTTAGGAGCTTCACAGTGCAGGGTCCAGAGGACATACTCTGCTCCTTGCTCATCTTTTTTGGTGGTACTGAGGTCTCTCTGATCTCTACTCCCTTGTTTAATCACTTTTATATCTCAGAAGAGAGTGACTTTAGATTCAGCCTAATTTTGTGGATTGTATCTTTCCTGGTTAACGTACTTGCCACTAATCTTGTCTCATTGTCATCATGGTGTGGTGGTAGTTGTGTGCTGTGGAGTTAGTTCTGACTTAGAGCAACCCTTTACAGGAGTAGAAAGCTTCATCTTTCTCCATGGTGCAGTTGCTGGATTTGAACTGCTGACCTTGAGGTTAGCAGCCCAATGTGTAACCCACTATGTTCCCAGAACTCTTCATTACTGTTGTTGAGGTATGGATTTTCAACACATAAGAGTAATTACTTCAGATCACACAATGGAGGATAATTGCACCATAATGTGAATCATGGCCTACCCAAGTTAGGGGACACAGTTTTTGGGAAACATTTTAATCCATAACATTGGACCCTTTGTTGTTGTTAAGTGCTGTTGAGTTGGTTGCAATGCATAGTGACCCTGTATAGAGTTTCTGAGGAGCAGCTCTTGAATTTGAACTGCTGAACTTGCAGTTCAAACCGACGTTGCGGTCCAGTCCTTCTCATACAGCGCCACAACAGGATCTCTTCCCCCCTCGCCCCCCCCCCAATTTATGTTCTTACCATATGCAAAACACTTTGACCTCATTATGCCATTTCCAAAGTCTTAAATCAATCTTAGCTTCAAATTCCATCCTGGAGCAAAATTGTTATTTATCTTTTCCTCCGGAATACAAGTTATGTGCTTCTAAAGTGGGGGAATAGGCACAAAGTAGACATTTCTTGTTATTACAAATTGAAGGAAAAGATAGAATAATGAACAACAAGTAATTAGCTCTCAAGGATTGAAAATAATCCTGGGTTCTCTGAAACCATCTAGGCAAGAGTACCACCCTCCAGACTCTGGGCATTGGTCACACTCTCTTGATTATGGGTGGTGACCCCTCAACCCAGGGCTTCAGCTCCACCTCCCAAGTGCACTTGGATGGCAACTTTACTCCCTCATTTTGGGGCAGCCCCATTCTCCTAATACAACTGAGCGGCAAACCCACCACCTCAGCCCCAGCAGGCCCTGTTCATTTGTCTCTTGGACATGGAAATCCTGGCCCCTCAGGTTTGAGTAGCAGATCTGGCCTCACCTCCTGTCACTTGTGAGTGGCAGCCCCAAACTCCAGAAATGAAGATCTGACTCGTTAAAGCTAGGAAGCTATGATTCTGCCCTTTCAAAAGGTTCTACCCTTTGAGACTGAGGCAACTCTAATTCCTGTGCTTCTGGGCTTATCATCTGCTTCCTGGTTCCTTGGTGCCTTAGACCTCTTGGGCCAGCCCAGGCAAGTGTTATGGGGCTCTTTAGCTTTACAGAAAAGTGCCCAGAGGCACCCTACTCAGTCACTAAGCCTTGGCCTGAAGTTGCTCAGCTTTTGGCAAGCCTAGCTCCACTGACACATACCTTAAAGCATCTGCCTCCACCGGGAAGCCTCATGCCTGAAGACACTCAGGTTTTGAGGGTTGACTTCTATGCCGTTCCCATACCACACCGTCTCAGGCTGGTCTCAAGCTAGTCTCCTCATTCTCTTAATAGTTTCTCTGCCACTGCGTCTCGCCATCTGTGCTGTCTGTAAAGTTCAAGTCTCCTCCCTTTCTTTTGAGCCCTCACTAGAAGTGCCTTTGACGTTCATAATTCTAGCAATAGTTTCTTCAAGGCAACAACAACAATTGTTGCCAAGTGCCATTGAGTTGGTTCTGATACAACCCTGTATAGGGTTTCCAAAGCATGGCTGGTGAGCTTGAACCACCGACATTGCAGTTGAAACTGACTTTGTAGTCCAGCGCATTAGCCCACAGCACCACAATTCGGTACCTTAAACTTTTTCAGCCTCTACTCATTACCAATTCCAAAACCACTTCCACGTTTCAGTTATATATGGTAGCAAGGAGCTCGCTACTAGGTTAAACACTGAACTGCTAACTGAAAGAGTGTTGATTAAAGCCCACCAGCTGCTCTACAGAAGAAAGAGACTGTCTGATCCCTTATAGATGTCCAGCCGTGGGAACTTTAAGGAGCAATTCTGTTCTGTCCTGTAGGGCTACTAGGAGGTGGAATCGACTTGATGACAGTGGGTTTTGTTTGGTTTGGGTTCTTGGAGCAGCACCGTACTATTCCAGTAGCAAGTTCTGTCATAATTAGCTAGTGCTGCCACGACAGAAATAACACAAGTAGAGAGCTTTAGTAAGTTTATTCTCACTCAGTTTTGGAAGCTAGAAGGCTGAATTAAGTACACCAGCTCTAGGAGAAGGCTTTCTCGCTCTGTTGCTATGAGAGAAGGTCCTCGTGTCTTTTCTACATCTGTGAGCCATTGTTCCTTGGAGATCTCCATCTGTCTTGGTCTTCCTCTGGGTCTAGGAGCATCACAGTATAGAGATCCTGAGTCCAAAGAATGTATTCTGCTTGTGGCTCTTCTTTTTTGGTGGTACTATTGGATTGTGGGCTACCGCTCATCTGTCAGCTTGTCGTACTGTGGTGACTTGTAAATTGCTGTGATTCTGAAAGCTATGCCACTGGTTTTTTAAATACCACCAGACTCACCCATGGTGGACAGTTTTCAGATGAGCTTCCAGACGAAGACAGAGTAGTAAGAAGGAGTGACAAATTACTTCCGAATATTTAGTCACTGAAAACCTTATGAATGGCAGAGAAACACTGTCAGATACAGTGCTGGAAAATGAGCCCCTCAGGTTGGAAGGCACTCAAAATGTGCCTTGGGAAGAGCTGCCTCCTCAAAGTGGAGTTGACCATGATGATGCAAATGGAGTAAAGCCTATGGGAGAAAAGCCCATGGGAACTTCATTTGCTAATGGGGCACAACTCAAAATGAAGAGAAACATCTGTAAACATCCAATGAAGTTTGGAAAATGGAATGTATGAAGTATGAATCTGGGAAAATTGGAAGTTGTCAAAAATGAAATGGAATGCATAAACATCAATATCTTAGGCATTAGTGAGATGAAATGGACTTGTATTGGCTATTTTGAATTTGATGACCACATGGTTTACTATACTGGAAATGACAAAGTGAAGAAGAATGGTATTGCATTCTTTGTCAAAAAAAAAAAAATATATATATATATATATATATATATATATATATATATATATATATATATAGATATATATATATATATATATACAGATCAATCATGAGGTACAACGCTGTTTGTGATAGGATAATATCCATGCGCCTACAGGGAAGCCCAGTTAATACCATTATTACGTATTCAGATTTATGCACCAACCACTATAGTCAATGAGAATGAAATAGAAGAATTCTACCAACTTCTTCAACCTGAAATTGATCAAATATGCAGTCAAGATGTATTGATCATTACTGGTGATTGGAATGCAAAGGTTGGGAGCAAAGAGGAAAGGTCAGTAGTTGGAAAATATGGCCTTAATGATAGAAATGATGTTAGAGAACGCATGATAGAATTCTGCAAAATCAATGATTTGGTCATTTCAAATGCCTTCTTTAGAGAGCATAACAGATAGAATACATAGAAATGAAATTGACTACAGCTGTGGAAAGAGACGATGGAAAAGCTCTATACCATCAGTCAAAACAAGGCCAGGGCAGACTGTGGAACAGACCATCAATTACTCGTATGCAAATTCAAACTGAAGCTGAAAAAAATGAAAACAAGTCCACGAGAGCCAAAATATGACCTCGAATATATCCCACCTGAATGTAGAGATCATCTGAAGAACGGATTTGATACATTAAACACTAAAGATTGAAGACTAAAAGAGTTGTGGGGTGACATCAAGAACATCATACACGAAGAAAGCAAAAAGTCATTAAAAGAAGACAAGAAAGAAGGAAAGGTCAAAATGGATGTCAGAAGAGACACTGAAACTTGCTCTCCAGCATAGAGATGCTAAAGCAAATGGAAGAACTGAGGAGGTACAAGAGCTGAACAGAAAATTTCAAAGTTCAGCTCGAGAAGATAAAGCCAAATATTACAACAAAATGTTCAAAGATTTGGAATCAGAAAACCAGAAAGGAAGAACACACTCAGCATTTCTCAAGCTGGAGGAACTGAAGAAAAAATTCAAGCCTCAACTTTTCGTTATAGAAAGATTCTCTGGGCAAATTCTTGAATGATGCAGAAAGCATTAAGAGTAGATGGAAGAAATACACAGAGTTACTGTGCCAAAAGGAAATGGTTAATATTCAACCATTTCCATAGGTAACATATGATCAAGAGGCAATGATACTGAAGGAGGAAGCCCAAGGTGCATTGAAGGAATTGGCAAAGAACAAGGCACCAGGAATTGATGGAATAACAATTGAAATCTTTAAAGAAAGTGAGGCGGCACAGGAGGCATTCACTCATCTCTGCCAAGAAATTTGGAAGACAACTATGTGGCCGACTGATTGGAAGAGATCCATATTTATGCCCATTCCAAAGAGAGGTGACCCAAC